GGTGGGTGTGGTGCCCGGTGGGCGGTGCCAGAGTCTGGCCAGGACCCCTGAGCGCGCCGCGTGTCATTGGCTGATCCCAGAACTGTGGAATCCACGTCCGTCTTCACGTCCTGGCTTTGTCCCGAAGCCCCCCGGGCTGTGAGACAGGCTGATGTCCCTCTTCAGGGAGAGGTCTGGAACCTGGTCCGAGGGCTTTTATGTCAGCCCTGCCAAACCGATCTCTACAGTAAGACAGAGAGGTGGGGGTGGCTATGCAGTATTATCCTACAGTCACCAAATGTGTCCTGCACACGGCAGGGGCCCCGGAGTGTTTGTTGATTGAATGAACGAGGGAAAGAATGCTGCTCCAACCGCTACATCACACTTCCTGCCCGCCCTGCCTGCCTTCTTCAGCCGATGTGGGGTTTGCGTGCTAGTGCCCGGTACTGTTCCGGGTGCTGAGGATTAAGTGGCGAACCTAAGCATCCAAAACCCTGCTCTGTGGTGAGCTTGCGCTGTCGGGAGGCAGAGAACAAGCGAGACGATTAGAAGGCGCACAGCAGCGCCTATGCCTGTGATGCACCTTAGATTAGCTGGGATCTTTATTATTTTCGTTCTGTGTTATTTTTGGTTTTTGAGACCGGGTCTCCCTTTGCAGCTCGGGCTGGGCTTTTCTTTTCTTTAGAACAACATTTATTGGTACATTTTAGATGCACACAGTGATAACACTGGTCACAGGGAATTTGTACCAGTCCATGGTGTATCTTGCTTTTTTTTTTTTTTCCTATCCCTGCCCTCCTTAGGTACAAAAGCTTTGCTGCCATTTTTCCTTCTACTTTCACTTTTTAATTGTCCCTTCTTTCCTCCCCCCTCCCCCACTCCTTTGTTCCCCTTCTCATTTGAACATTTTCTTCCCATTTCCCAGTGTCTGTTGTACATTTCAGTCCTTATTTCCACTTTTGGTTTCTCACACCAGAGAAAGTGTGGCATTGTGTGTCTGATTTATTTCACTCAAGAGTATGGTCTTCAGGTGCATCCGTTTACCTAGAAATGTCTCCACTCACCTTCTTCCTGGCAGAGTAGTACTCCACCACGTTAAAAACCACATCTTCATCCGTTTGGCAGTGGATGGCGTGTGAGCTGTTTCTGTAATTTAGCTGTCACCAACTGTGCTGCTATACACAGGGGTGTGTGTCCATCGCTGTGGTGTGATGTTTAAATTATTTCAACAAGATACCAAAAAGGGGAAAAGCTGGGTCAAATGGAACCTGCAGTTTTAGTGTTTGGATGAATCCCCACACTGATTTCCACAGTGGTAGCACTGGTCTACACTTCCAGCAACAGTGGAGAAGGGTTCTTTTTTCCCCACTGCCCCTCCAGCATTTGTTATTGTTTATTTCTAGATTTCTCTCCAGCCATTCTTCCTGGAGTGAGATGGAATATCAGCATAAAACAAATTTGCATCTAATATTCAGTGATGTTCAACATTTTTTCATAAATCTATTTGCTGTTTCTACTTCTTCATCTGAGAAGTGTCTGTTCATTTTAGATGCCCATTTTTAGATCGGGTCTTTAAATTTGAGGGGTCTGATTTTTTATTATTATTATTATTTATTTATTTATTTATTTTTTGGTTTTTTGAGACAGAGTCTCACTATGTAGTTCAGACTGCTCTGGAACTCACTATGTAGCCCAGGCTGGTCTCGAACTCACCGCGATCCTCCTTCCTCAGCCTCCCGAGTGCTGGGATTACAGGCATGCGCCACCACTCCCAGCTCCCGGCTTGGAGTCTGATTTTTTTGAGTTCTTCATATATTCTTGGTGATAGTCCTTTGTCTGAGGAACAGCTGGTCAGATTTTTTTCTCCACATTGTGGGCTCTTAGCTCTGTTGGTGGTTTCTCTTGCTGCGTAAAAGCTTATCAGTAAGATAAAATTCCAGTTGTTGATTCTTCGTGATAGTTCCTGGGCAAATGAG